CTGGCTGCGTGAGAGTAGGCCTCGTACGACGCTCTGCGCCTATGACTATCTTTATTAAGCTAATTACGCCTATCTAAAAGCTAGTTTTATTGAAGTTATAGATGTTGTCTAAATGAACTCTATACTTCTTAACTGTCTCTTGTACGAGCTTAAACTACGCGTTAATAGTCTCTAGATTCTCTTATTAAGTTCTCTAATATTTCTTTGCTTAACTAAAGGCTATTCTAAGCTTGTCTATATAAGTAATAAACTACTCTACCTAGCATTTGCCTAAAGGCTTGCTATCTTGTTTGCGTAGTAGTTTCTCCGCTATATCTACTACTTTACATAGATAGGGGGTAAATCCTTGCAAGTCTAGGTTAAGAATATATCGTACAATAGTTTACTCTTTAGACTTAGTTAGCTTCTAGCAATTTAGCTATATTATAGGTTAAAAGGTAATTCCTTAAAGCTACTAAGAGATCTGCTAATAATAGACGTTGTAGGCTGCTGTAGCGCGTTAAATGCTCTTAAACTAGCCTATACAATAGGCCTAAATAGCTAGAGCAAGCCTACCTTCTTGCTAAGTTAATATTGCGTTCTATTGTTAGGGCATTATCTTTCGTACGTGAAGTTCGTAATGCTAAGAACAAGTGGCACACTTAGTAATGTAGCCCACTTGGTGATAGAATACGTTATATTATTTTCAACATTTCTAACCTAGCTATTTAGAAAGTATAAGTAGCTCACTTAGTCTACCTAGATAATAGTAGTGCCCCTATATAGGTTTTTAAGTGCCTACAGTATATTCTACTTAACGTACTACACCAGTGAGGCGGCCGAACCAGTGAGGCGGCCACTTTCTCTTAGCACTGCGAACACCCTGTACAAATAATTAAATTTCTTAACACTATAGACTTATCCTTTATATAAGACACTTATATTAGATTTAGAATCTTCTGCTATATCTTTTTAGCACGTATAAGCGTTGTGCCTAGTCTTACCGCAGTTGCTATAGCGCTATTGACCTAGTTAGGCTAGTTCTTAACTACCACTACCACGCGCTCTCTTTGCTATCGTACAACCACTAGAAGCACTCTTAGCTACTATTAATGCTGCTGCACCATACTCTAGTGTTCTGCTATGCTAGATCCGCTTTCGCTTTCAACCTTTGCGCTTTGTAACCTCTACTAATTACTCTTTAAGCTCTTATACGCAAGCTTTAATTAAAATATTCTTATATAGCATCTCTTCTACTCCTTTAATAAGCTTTAAGAACCTTTCTTAAGCACTTATTAGTAATTGTATAAAGGATTCCCTTACAAGCCTTAATTGCGATCTAAATTTAAGCAGGTTACTTAATGTTCTTAACTGCTAAGGCGTTTCTAGGAGGGGTGCTAGTAATAGCGTACAAAGCTGCACCTTAAGGTAATCTATAACTACCTGCCCGTTTATAGGGACAACTCCTAAAGCCTTAAAGGCCTTCTTATAGTTATTATACATAAACACGTTAAAAAACGCGTGTTTAAAGGCTAGAAAGAAGCCTTCTTTGTTAATATAGTAGACGCGTTAGCGTGCTAAGTCTTATACGCGTTAAGAGTACTTTGATTTTAATAGCAAGAAACACACTATATTAAGTAGCTAAAGGATGTGTAATAAGTAAAAGGGCATATAGAGCGTAAGGATCTTGTATATAAGGCAGTATTCCTTAAAATCTTTATCAAGGTAGCTCTCGTGCCTTTCTAAGATTAGCAGCCTATATAACCCCTTCTAACGCGTCTTTGTATGCGCGTTAAAGTGCTTTAACCACTTAAGACTAAGCTAATTATTAGTCTAGCTATTCTCTAAGACCAAAATTTTCTAATTGTATAAGATGTCTTGCTTTTTATACTATGCAGAGATATAGAGGCGTCCTTTACAGATAATTAATAGTAGGATAGCATACCTAGTAGCACAGATGCCTTAGATAACTATTACCTACTCCTAGTCCCCTAGCTAAATAACATTTAGTCTTGTATAACGTTCTAAACTAGTAATAACCTTTATTAAGCTAATTACACCTATTTAGAAGCTAGTCTTATTAAAGTTATAGATGTTATCTAGATAGACTCTAAACTAGTTAATTGTATCTTATACGAGCTTAAACTATAAGCTAATAACCTCTAGGTCTTCTTAAAGGGCTCTCTAATAGTCCTTTGCCTAATTAAAAGCTATCTTAAGCTCCTCTATATAAGTAATAAAGCGCTAAGCCTAGTTTTTACTAATAGGTACTCTACTATAAGTAGCTAGCAATTAATTAGCAATATCTACTACCTTATATAGCTAGGGCTCAAATCCTTGCGCGTTAAGGTTAAGAATGTATTATACAATAGTCTATTCTTCTACTATAGTAAGCTTCTAGACTCTAGGTCGTGTATTAAGTTAATTAGTAATTCTATAAAGCTAATTAGAGAGCCACTAATGTTATACGCTATAGGCTGCTATAGTACGTTGTAAGGTCTTAAATTAGCTAGTAGTAAAGGCCTAAAGCGTAAGGTTAATCCTGCCTTCTTTATATAATAAGACAGCGTTACGTTGTAGAGACATAATGTATCCTTTGTCGTGTTCGCAGTGCTAAGAAAAAGTGGCCAGCTCACTGGTTTGGCCGCCTCACTGGTGTAGTACGTTAGTTATAACTACTTTATAGTAAGTTAGTCTAAAGTAGCTTAGATTAGGCCTTTTAAGGGTAGACTAGACTAATATAGGTAGTACCTAGCTAACCTTAATATTAACTAGCCCTCTATTAACTAGCGGCTATAGACTATTTATAATACTCTTAGACATTATTCTAATAACCACCCTACTTATAATAGTACTATTTATTACCTCTTTAAGCTTACTAAGCCTATTATTAAGGCAGTTAGGTTATAAGTACCCTAGATTAGGCCTATTTAAGCTAGAGTAGGCTAACTTAGCTTAGGTATTATCTCTATGCCTCTAAGCTATTTCTCTTATTTAGTACTATCTCTAAGAACAATAATTCTAGCTCTAGTATCTATAAGAAGACTATAGGCTATAGTAAAATAGAGGTTAATGCTAAGCGTGCTATAACTAAGTTGCTTTAGTAAAAGCGTGTTAATGCTCTTATAAAGAAGACTAAGACTACTAATAGCACCTCTAAGCGTAAAGTATAGCCCACTTTAAACCTATTTAGGCTAATTTAGGCTATATTAACTTTTTTATAAAATATTTAAGTTGATACTATATTAGCTAGTCTTTGAAAAAAGATTAAGGACCTTAAGGGAGAGGTTACTAGCTTAGTTATATCTTAGGCTAGTCTTAAAGGTGCCGCTAAAAGTTAGAAGATAAAAGAAATTAAAGTTAAGAGGTAGTAGCTAACTAAGGTTAACTTCTATCTAGCTAACTACCTTTAGCGTAGGTAGAGTAGTAAGTAGTAGGATAATTATAGTTTAGTTTTAGCAGTGCCTATATAGCCTATATTAGGCTAGATTAGGCTAGATTAGGCTAGATTAGGGTGGGCTAGCCCCTAGTAGCTTCCCTTATCTTTTAAGTAATACCTTAGATTTCTATAGTTAAAAATTATAGCTTTAACTTTATAATTTTTTCTTCTTTTTTTTTATTAAGTTTTCTTTAAGTATCATAAGTAGCGTATAGTAGCGTGTATTAGACTTAGTAGAGCTAGTTTAGCCTATGTTAGGCCGAACTAGGCTTCGTAGGCCTATTTAGCGCTATTATGCGCCTAGCCTTTTTATAAGTGGTTATATTTAATAGATAGAGTATAAGCGTAGTCTTTAACGCTTATATACGCCCTTTTTATGTTTTTATTTTCAACTTTTAGCTTTTCTTATACGTTAAAGGCTATTTCACCTTCTACTAAAATTTATGTAAGGTCTTTTACATCATATTAGCTACTAGCTCTTAAGTGTTATTTTCCTTTCTATAGCCTATTTATCTAATAAGGAATTTTTATTAATCTTACTTATTCTTTTTATATCTTAGTATTTTATCTATATAGTACACGTTATTGCTATATTTACCTAACTAGTATTATAATTATTCCTATAGGTGCTTAATTTACCCTTCTTTGTAGTATGGTTCTAGTAGCAACGCATAGAATACTAGGTAGACGCTTTTTAGGCTAGGCAGGTCTACTTTAAATACTATTAGTCTGATTTAGGCTATAATAGTCCCTAGCCCTACGTATTTTTAGTCTAGTTTCTTTTTTAGCTATAGGGATCTTATATATTTATTTAAGACTAGTACTTGGTTGCCTACCTTGAATAGTATTAGTAGCTATTTCTTATTAATATACTATTTTATATATACCTACGCTTTTTTAATAAACTGTTTATACTTCTTTTATAGCTCTAGTACTCTTATAGTAGTTTAGTGTACTATAAAGTATTCCCTTTTAAATTAGCCTTTCTTAGGCTAACTTATACTGTGCCGAGGCACAGGGTCACCATGACCCTTGTGCTAACTAAGCACTGCTTACTTTCAAGAAGGAACATAAATTAGTAGTTAAGTTTGTAGGAAAAATTAATGAACAATATCTCTTAGAAAAATCTCTTGCTTGAAGAACTAACTACTTATATTTTACTCCCTCTCCTCTCTCTTATAACCTATAGGAAGGGGAAGAGCCTATAGTTCTATTCCCTCTACTAAGAAGATATCGCAGTTCCACCCTACACCTCCACGAATGGCGAAGCCCAAGGGGCTGCGTTTAACTCCTTAGTAGATAGAATAGCTAATGCACACCAACAGCGAAGATAAGGAAGATGGCAACACTGCTTAGGGTAGCAGTGGGAGTGCCTCTGACTCTGAGAAGAAGAACCGGAACCTGTTGGGAAAGAAGAGAATAAGGTTTACTCAATTTACCTTGAGTCAGCAGACGCGTGTTGTTAGTATGACAACTAAACCGCCTTAAGAAGAGAAGTATAAGCAAAAGAAATGCCAAGCCACCTCCACAAATTGCGAAGCCCAAGGGGCTGCGTTCAACTCCTTAGTGGATAGAACAGCCAATGCACACCAACAGCGAAGATGAGGAAGATGGCAACACTGCTCAGGGTAGCAGTGGGAGTGCCTCTGACTCTGAGAAGAAGAACCGGAACCTGTTGGGAAAGAAGAGAATAAGGTTTACTCAATTTACCTTGAGTCAGCAGACGCGTGTTGTTAGTATGACAACTAAACCGCCTTAAGAAGAGAAGTATAAGCAAAAGAAATGCCGAGCCACCTCCACAAATGGCGAAGCCTAAGGGGCTGCGTTCAACTCCTTAGTGGATAGAACAGCCAATGCACACCAACAGCGAAGATAAGGAAGATGGCAACACTGCTTAGGGTAGCAGTGGGGGTGCCTCTAACTCTGAGAAGAAGAACTAGAACCTGTCAGGAAAGAAGAGAATAAGGTTTACCTAATTTATCCTAAGTAAGCAGACGCGTATTATTAGTATAACAACTAAACCACCTTAAGAAGAGAAGTATAAGCAAAAGTTAAGAAGATTTAAAATTAAGTTCATTAGGAAAGAAATGCTAATTTAAACTAGCTAAGCTAGCACTTATTTAGGAAATGCTAAGCTAAAGAGGCTAATAATAAAGCATTTTACTAAAGATATAGAAGAGAAGAAGAGACATTAGTATAGGCGGGAGTAAGAGAAGCTCTAGCATGCGCTAGCTATCTAAGGAAGCCACGTCTTGTAGCATTACGTTCAAAGAATAGGGAATTCTTATTAGTTGGCGATCTCTCTAAATAAGAGACTATATTAGTTAGTAAGTTTATCTAAGTATAGTTCTCTATATAAGGCAATAGTATTATAGTAGAGAAGTTACTTATTAGTTAGTAAATTTATCTAAATAAGTAACTTTACTATGAGCAATACAACTTCTATAGAAGAAGTTACCCTAATAATAGAGAAGGACAACATCCACACTATAATTTCTAACTAAATAGAAATAGCAAACGCTACGTTAGTGGTGGCTATAGCCCGCCTAAAGCATAGTACTTTATTCTTTAATAGTACTAATGTAACAGAATTCTTAGAGAAATTTGATAAGTAAGCTACTAATAGTAGCATCTTTATAACAACAAGAGTCTCGAGTGTCCTTAACTACCTATTTGTTACAAGTAACAAGAAGGATTCTCTCCTTGACGGGGGACAACGAGGTTGAAGGCCAACCACGTCCACGTTAGAAGGTAATAATTATCGCGGGGCTTGAGGTCACGTGATGCACTCTCCCGCCAAGAGCTATTCTCCCGCTAAGGAAGGGATAATAGGCTAGGATGGGAGAAGGCGTTCTCCCACATCTCCTAAAAGACAAGAATGTTAAAGGAGAAGAGGGAGAACAGGACTAAAGGCAATAGGTATAAGAATGGGTTAGATTTTATTATTACACTTATTGTGGTTAACTGTTTTATAAGTTCTTCTCTTACATAGATTAATACTTAGTTATTCTATCTTCTTAATAGAATTAGTTTGTCTTACTAACCTAGTTAACTCCTATAACTCTTCTCTACCCTATCGCTAGACAATTACCTTACGGATACTTCTATTAGATAGCCTCGCCCTACCCTAGACTAAGACTAGGTAAGTATAGTTTCTAATAGTGTTAGGAAACCCTATGTAACACTTTAACCACCTACGGATTTAGTAGAAGGATTAACTAATAGTCGCTTAAATAAGATTACTATGATAGCCAACAATAAAAGTTAGGGACAGGAGCCTATAATTGCAGCTCCTATAACTTCACTAGCTCTCAACAACGAGATGCTTAAAGGAAGTGGTTTGGATTCCAACTCCTTAGATAGAGAAAGGAATAACTTAAACTAGGCTAAGGTACAAGATCTTAAGCGACAACTACGCATCTAGGCAAGGCAGATAGCTGCTATACAGGAGATAATAGCGTAGATAGCTAGCTAGCTAATAGCTACGCCAAACGAACGCGTTACAAAACCTAAAATAGCAACACCTAAGAAGTATAAAAGAGGTTAGCACGAACTTAGGACGTTCCTTACTAATATTAACTTATACTATAGATTTAATAGAGTACTAAATAATTAGGAAGAGATCCTTATAGCTAGCATGCATATAAAAGGAAAAGCAGCTAGCTAGATGTAACCTTACGTAAAGGACTTCCTGGTAGAACTAACAAGTTAAGGAACAAAGGCTAAGACTAAAACCCTATTCTAGGATTAGAGTAGCTTTAAGGAAGAGATAAAACGCATCTTTAGGGAAGTAGACGCAAAGAACTAGGCTAAGAAAGCAATTATGCGCCTAAAGCAGACTGCGTCCATAACCGCCTACACGGTAGATTTTAAGCAACTATAGGCGAGGATTGATTAGGACAACGCAGCGCTACGAATAATATTTAAAGTAGGTCTAAAGAACAATATTGTTACGAACCTGAGGGAGGAAGGCACAGCGGTTAAGTTAAGAAGCATCGACGGCCAGTCGACCCAGCCATATGTAACGCGGGGGCACGTATCACGTGACCTCCTCGGTGGCGCATGCACGAGGAAGAGTCTTAGCAGACTCCTCGTACATGATCTATCGAGGAATGAACCTCGTATATAAGCTACTAAGGAATGCTCGGGCTCCTCTGACCAAGGGTTACAAGCATTACAAGTATATAGCAATAGGCATTAAGCCCTTATAGCTTGATGTGTTTAACTTAAGTTACAAGTACAAGTACAATACAAAAGTTACTTGCAGAGATACTGTTCATATCACCCTGTTGCTTTATCTGCGAAAACCAACCTTAAGAGTCTGACACTAGAAGTTTTATATTACTTCCACTTAGATCCTACTGTTAACACTTTAAACACCCTTAAGATAAGCGACATTGTTATAAACACCCCTGACGCTTCCCTTACTAGAGGATCATCCGCTTGTAGTAATAAGCTAGACTTGTACCATAGAGACCGCAGCAAGCTTAAAGCTTAGATCCTCTAGGTTAACTAGTTCTTCTACCTACAAGATAATAGGATTGACAACAAAGACAAAGTCGTCTTAGCCACCACCTACTTCCAAAGTAACGCAGAAAAATAGGCCAACCTAATTATTCAACGTTACATAGATGACTCTATCACTGACGCCAACAACACAGCCTTAATAGAAGACTAGGACGCTTTTAAAGTTAAACTCTAACAGAACTTCTCACCCTTTAAAGAATTAGTAGTCGTAGAACAGCGAATTTAAACCCTACGCTAGACAGGACTAGCCGCCAACTACACGACAATATTCTAGCAGCACGCCACTAGAATTAACTAGGACAACAGAGCACTCATGCGCATGTACTAACAAGGCCTTAAGCCAGCAGTGCGCAGAGAACTTATAAGAAGTGGAGCTAATATTAACACGCTAGCAGAACTTATAGAAGAAGCTATTAGAGTTGACAACGATTTATACGAACTAGCGCTAGAAGAACGACTATTCAATTAGGGAACGCGACAACAGGATAGGGACGATCAGCCTTGACAACAGCAATACCGACGTTCACCCCCTAATACGGGACGACAGCGCAGCTTCATGCTATCCACGCCAGGATCCTACTAAAAATACGGTGCTTAACCTATACACCTTGACAACCTTAACAAAGAACGTAGATTTAGACGCGCTAAACTAAATAAAGGACCTAAGGGTTAGCACAACAAAGATAGGAAGAAATTCACTTGTTATGCCTGTGGCAAGGAAGGCTACATAGCACAAGACTATCAAAGCAAGAATAAGGTCACTCGATAACTGAACGTTATCTGAAAAGACTCCAGCCTCGACGATGGCGAGTTATAGAACGTTATTACCCTAGCCTAAGTTAAATACTATCCGCTTAATGAAGAACTTATTATAGGACTTAAGGACGTAATGCTTACTACTGCTAAAAGCAGCGAGGACGAAAAGAACCCGCTTAGCGATGAAGAATACGAGACGCTAGCAGAAGAAGAATTTCCTGCGGCACCTACGAAGCACGAAAAGATGGCTAGGTTTAAGGAAAAGAACTAACCCGCTACGCCAAAGCTAGTAGGGCTTGGACTAGACTAAGAAGAACCCCAATAGGATCTAGTACAACAGACAACTCCACCTAGTACACCATAATAGGCGCAGAAAGCACAAGAAACATAGCGACAATCACAGAAGGAATACTAAGCCACTAGGCAACAGCAAACTAACGACATCTAGTATTGGTACGATGCGCGTAACGCACACCATGCTCGACTCTTATGGACAGCATGCCTAGCCGCCTATTGCCTAGCCCACTACTTGGACAAACAAGGAATAGGATAGAGCCCCAAGACTATTAACGGATACTCTAAATGTTAATATCACTAGTTCGAATGCGTAGACGATAAATGTCTAAAACACCTATAGGACAAGAGGGAGAAAAAGCACTTCCTAGGCCACAACGACCTACAAGAAGTTATACAGATGCAAATAGTATACTAGACGGAATACGTGGACGATCACACGTACGCTTGTTAACGACAAGACTGGCAGACATGTCTTAGCGACAAATGCGATACTTATGTCCTAGCCAAAGAATATTACGGATTCCTAGTAAAGTCTTTTTTAGGCTAGCGCCATAAGAGCTAGGGCCCTCTAGGGAGATTAATATAGTAAATCCCCTAGGATTAATAAAGCTTATAGTAGAGCTTAATGGAAAATGGATGTAGGCACTAGTGGACTTAGGATTATAGGCGAACTATGTTTTAGCGCACGCAGTTAGGAAAGCTAGACTTACCTAACTATAGAAACAACAGCTATACCTACTACACGTTGCTAATGGCGAACTAATGCTAAACGAAGAGAAAATAACATACGAGGTTAGACAAGTGACACTTAGCATCTAAGAGCATAAGGAGAAGATCGACCTAGACGTCTTTGGACTAGCTACCTACGATATCATTCTAGGACTCCTATGGCTACGAGAACACAACCCGCGGATTGACTGGAAGTTGAAGGTGTTCCAATTTGAGTGCTGCGGAACAGACGCAACCGCAAGCCAGCCTACGCATTAGCAGAGTCTAATAGTAGATGAGAGTAATATTGCCAAGTAGTGCAATATTGTAGAAGAGAAAGCGAACTTAACAGGTAGTTCCTAGAGCAGGAAGCTAAACTTAGCAGATACTAAAACTAGGCCAATAGATCACAAAGCTAGAGTATAGGAGAATAGCGCAACTCTAGAGATCCCTGAACTATACAGAAAATATAAACATCTATTTTAGGAAGTAGTAGACGACTAAGCGTTACCAAAGCATTAACTCTAG